GTACTTCTGTCATGGTCCTGAGTCTGCCGACTCAGTGTTTTGTGTTTCTTTATGCTTTTGTTTATTCTGAGTATGTATTCTGTTATGATTTGCCATTTGTTAGGTTTCTGTTCTGTGCCTGCCCTGGTCCCACTTCTGTGTCCTGTCTGTCCATGGTGTCACACTGTCTGTTTGTGAATCTGTCTGTTTAGTTCAGTGTCTTGTCTGGGTCTCTTTGTCTGAGTTTCCTGTTTTATTCTGAAAGTCCCCGTCTCATGTGAGTGTGTTCAGCTTACGTTTCCCCTGTCCCGTCAGCTCTGACTTCTCCCAGGTGTGTTGCCCTCCTGTTTCTCATCCCCTGATTACTGCTGTGTGTATTTAAGCCCTGTGTGTTCTCCTGCCTGTTCGTCTGTGTTCCACGGTGTCCTGTTCCTTGTCTGCGTCTCTCATTCCGCCTCTCACCCTGTTTGGTATCATCTCAGGTTTGTTATTTAGTTTTCCCAGTTTAGGTTTCTTTAGTTATTTGTCATCCCTCATTGCCTGTTTTGCCACTACGCCACTTTGTAAATAAACATCACTAGCATTATCATCCACTGCCTGCATTTTGGGTCCTTTCTCCCTCCAACACCACATGGCTCGCCTCGGCAGACGTGACAACTTCAACCTTTACTGGAGTTTTGTTTTTACACTAGTATCTCTACTTCTACTTAAGTACAGAATGTGTGTACTTTTGCTACCTCTGCCTGTGGTACACAGCCCACGATTGAAGTATCTATTAATGGTAGGACTTCTGCAGTCTTGGAATGAGGTATTGAATGAGATGGATGGATGGATCAATTGGAGAGAAAGTCTCTAAATATCAATCATACTGAAAGTAACTGTACATAATTATATATCTGTGAGATTGTTATGAGTAATTATTTTTTAATTGTAATGTTATTTTATTTATAAAGAAATTCATGGAGTCATTACTAGTTAACGTTGAAGGAATAGTCGACTCAACAGAGCTTTGATTCTTTGTCAGCCTAGCTGTAGTGCTGAAGAGAAACCCTGGGTTGTTATTTTCCCCAATAATTGAGAAATAATAACATTTTCTAGCTTTATCGAGGTTTTTTTTTATATGGTAATCAAATATTACATAATTTACTAACAGGACATAAGACTTTTTGTGGGGGGTTTTTATGTTTAAATCACATTTTGCTGATTTTTGGTTTGTTTTGTGATGGTCTGGAAGCAGTCTGTATGGGAATAACAAGCAGGGCTTTGGGTAAACTTTAAGACGTTCCATAAATTAATATGAATGCACACTTACATTTATTTATACATTTAGAAATCTTATAAATCTTACACACACATTCTGAATACACATTTGAACATTCTTGTACTCATTTACAAATCTATGTAGAGATTACCAAGCCAGATTACACCAACACAGATCTGAAGATGCACACATAAATTTCAATATGCACACAGGAAACTCCACACAGATTAAAAAACAAAAGTGCACCTTGGGATACACACATTAATGGTTTTGCTACAATAATAGCCTCATATATTTGCCCTTGCCTCTCTGAAAGGACTGGGCCTGCGTCTGTCTGAAGGATTTCCCTCCTACTCGCTCAGTTTTTTTTTTTTTTTAGCTTCTTGTTCCATGAGAAAAGTTCTCGTTTCCTGTTTTTTCGAGAGTTTATATAATTAGTTGCCAAAGTAGAGAATTTCCTTCCAAGACACCTTGCTGTTTGCGAGGTTTTTAATTTACAGCGATATAATACCTCCACATGATGTCCCTCTTTACAGCAACCTACATGCATCTGCTCAGTGCAGCTGAGTTCATAACTGCACACCAACAAAGCCCAGCAGAACAGAAGTGAGGGGGCAGAGAAAAGTGTGGTTGGATGAGATGAGCAGCATTTGCACAGATATATCTACTTTCTGATGAAATTCCAAAGTGTGTGTAAGTTAACAGATTTATCAGTATTACAGCTCTATCACTAAGACACAAGAATCTGATGGACACTCTAGTCTACTCCACTCTATCAGATTTTGTCTTTTAAATTAATGTTTAAAAGACAGTTTTAGTCTTTATTCTTTCAGCTGTGGCCTCGGTGGGGTTTTAAGGGTCTGAGAACAACTAAAGAATAAATCTAAATACAGAATTCAAAAGTAGGGTTAGTCCACGTGCAAATTTGACTTACAGAGCAAATAGGTGCCCTACTTTCATGTGCTATATTAATGCTTATTGAAAAATAAAATAGCTGTAAAACTGTTAAAAAACAGCCACCAGGAAAATAATTAAAGACTAAATTTGTGTCTAAGAATCCTTATTTGTTGCAAATGCATATCACAGAAATACAAATACTCTATATCAAAAAAGGCATTGCTTTCCAGAGAACTGATTGTTCAGTATGTGTTGATTTCACACCTGTTCATCACTAAACTGGAATCTGACCTGAGCAGGTTATATTGACTGTGCAAGTTACCACGGCAACATACTCCAGTGAGAAGTAAACCATGTTTATAGTACAGAAAACCCACGGTTGACCCTGAAGTTATCCAGATAAGAAATAAATCCTCCTTCATAGTACAGGCCTCTGATGAGGCAGGATGTGTGTGTTTTCATGTGTTTATTATTAATCACATGATCTCATTTCTGTGGTGCACAGATTGTATAATGTATGCAGCAGCTGCTGTGATCCATCTGATGAAAGTTGTAGAAACCAAAGTCTTGAAAATATACATATCCCAAGTGCTCCTGTGTGTGTGTGATTTTTCACTTTGGCTTCTAATGGTCACAGAAAAAGGAAAACACACACACCAACAACAGTTCCTGAACTCAACACCTAATACCTATTAGAGAGGTTTCTAAACATCTGGATACTTCTATAATTCAAGTTAATCTCTTTTCAAGAAAATAAACCACAAATTGATTTACAATAAAAATCAAATGAACACACGTGAACTAACTAAAACAACAGGAAACACAAAATGCTGCCCAAACATGTATCAAAGCTGATGAATTTTAAGCTGTTTTTTAAAGTGTCAATAGAGGGTGGTAATTTGTTCCAACGTTTTGGACCAAAGGTTTGGAATGCAGAATTCCCTTTTGCTTTCAGATCAGTTCATGGCATCACAAGAAAACCCCCATCTGCGGACCTAAGAATCAAGTTTGGAGAATAGGGGTGGAATATGTAATATAAGTCGGGAGCCTTATCGCCTAAGGCCATAAAAGTAAAAAACAAGCTTTTAAACCGAAATCTAAGGCCATAGAATTAATGTGAGCATCAAGTCCAAAGAATGACCAAAATTTAGCCTGAGATTCCACACCTTAGTTTTTACAGTGGATGAGAAAGATTTGAAACTCGGGAAATATGTTCTAGTTGTAGAAGGCAGAAAGATTATTTCCAACTTAATGGTGGTTATAATAAGTTACAGAAGTTTGCTAAGAAACTTCAGGCTCATCCCAGTGGTCTAGAAAATATATTAATCTCACCAGTCTTCATGATATGTATCTCAAAGGAGTTAAAAGTAGTATTCACTAGCTGAAAGTACCAGCTGGAAGTACAGCCAGCTCATCTCCACATCTGAAGGTCACGGTGAGATCAGAAAGGCACTGTCTACATACGGGGCAAAGTTTAATAAAGGGAAAGCATTCCATAATTAGCTGCCATGTTTCAGTTAAAAAACAAAATCCAGATTTTTCCAGAAGAACACAACATAAAAAACAAATGAGTAGAATAGAGTCGTATTAATCAGCAAGTATTCCAGTTAATAAGGGAGGAGTGTAAGGGAGCAGTCCCCGAGACTCCTCAAGCAATGGGGTGATAATATCATTCGTATTTGTTTCTAAGGAAAGCTCCCTTTCTTATTTGACTGCATGGAAAAATGACCTCCAAATTGAGCTTCCTGTAGAAGATTGGAGATAGACCTGTCTTGTGGCTCAAACCCAAACCATTAACACAAGGTTCAGAATTTTAAAGTACAAATGGCTGTTTTAATCCCAGTATTCCCAATGACTGTATTAAGTGTAGTAAATAGAAGGAAACCTTATTTCATTGTATGTGGAACTATAAAGTATTGCAACCCTTATGGAAAGGAATTCTTGACTTAATTTCCAGGTTAATAGAACATGTTATCCCAGTCGATGCAAAATTGTGCATTTTCCACATTCTCTCTGAACAGTTCCAACTACATGGAAAGAAATGAAAGCCAAACGCAATATTTCTTTAAAATGGAAGGACATACATGGACCCGCCCCTAATTAATGGATCAAAGAAATGACATGCAGCCTTGCAATGAGAAAGTTGACGTTCTTAGCTAAAGGAAAGACTTCTACCGGATCTGGACACACTTTTTACAATTTATAACGGGATTGTTTGTACAGAGAACTATGTTGTAACTAATATACATATGTGCTGAGAATACGACGCTGTTGGGTGGGTTGGGGTTTTCGGGGTGACTATACATGTTGATGTATTACAACTTAAAAATCTAATACAACCTTCTGTAGGAGGTACTTCTAGACTATGCGAGAGGTCCCGATAGGGCCAGTGCACACAACCCGTGATTTCTGGGAGATTCTCCAGGATCTGTAAAAATGTCACAAATATCTTTAAACATTTATACTCACAGGAAGCTCTATATGGGAGTAAGCGTTTTGAAAGTGAAAAATATCATTCTGTTGACTTTAAATATAAAAATGTCTGTTAAACGATCACGGGTTTTTTTGTTGCTGTTGTTGTTGTTATTTTGAAGTATAGCTTTTATAAAATGCTTTTATAAGTCTTTGTATGTTCTAATCTATTTGTATTTGTGTGTGAATTGGGGGAAAAAAACACTTGGGAGTTTGAGAATTTGTCTGTATAATTAGACACAAATTATTGTACACATTTCTAAATCTTAGTTTGAATCACATCGACGGTTTTCTCTCCACATAAAGCAGACGCTCTGCTTGTTCTTGCTCTACGTGACTTGTGGGCGAAAAGTCAGAGGAGAAGCTTTGTCCCTTCTGGCTCGCTGTAGCGCGTTATGTTGACGTGTGTCTAAGCTGTTCCGTTAGCTCACAAACAGCTAGCAGACACTGAACACTGAAAGTAGCTGTTTAACAGGCTGGTTTTGCGAACTCAAAAACTCACAGTAATGGCGGATGACTGGGAAGAGATTCGCCGGCTTGCCGCAGACTTCCAGAGAGCGCAGTTTGCTGACACAGTGCAAAGGTAAACGCAACTGAACGGGTGATAGCATCAAAGCTAATCCCAGCTGTCATTAAAGTTGATTTAAAAGTAACGCTATTAGATGAAAATTGTGGCTTCTCTTGTAACAACTGTTGTGACTAAAACAATGACAATAATAAATGTATACTACACTGTCCTTTACGCCACTTGTGTAAACTTTTCCGCAGGCTGTCGGAAAGAAATTGCATTGAAATAATTGCAAAACTAGTCCAAGATAAGAAGCTGGATGTGGTGCACACACTGGATGGTAAAGAGTATGTCACCCCAGCTCAGATCAGCAGGGAGATCCGAGATGAACTCTACGTGCACGGAGGTGTGATACAGAAGTTTAAGAAATGAGATGCAGGATTGTCACATTGTCCCTGTGACATTTTCAGAATTGTAGATTGTGACAGAAACTAAGTGTTTTCATTCTGTATTACAGGGAGAATCAACATTGTGGACCTCCAGCAGGTGTGTGTTAACACTGTGTTTCCTCCTGCGTCCTCTAGATGTGATATACAGTTTGTTCATTCAAATTTGGGTCAGATGTCTTATGAATGTTTTCATGATGTTGTTCCTTTCAGATTATCAATGTGGACTGGGTCCATGTTGAAAACAGAGCAAATGAAATTGCAAAGTCTGATAAAGGGGTTCAGCTTGTACTGGGACAGCTGATTGATGAGTGAGTATTAGGTCTATACTGTATAAAAATGGCTACCATAA